TGATGAGGAGACAGTCCGTGTTCATGGATAAGAGGACTCAGTATTATGAGAGGTTCTTCCTGGCTTGATCTGTAGATTCAACACAGTCCCAGTCAAAACCAAACAGAACAGAGGAAAAATCCCAAAGTTTCTTTTCCCTATTCTAAAAGCATAAAACACAAAATGCCTCACCTCTGGACAGGACAAACCGAGATGTTCTTTTCTGGTCTCCCTCTTTCCTCACCTTTCATTCATCTTCTGACCCAGATGTGTAAGGTTCACACATGGAGGTAGCCTCACAGGCCAAGCACACAGTTTCCTGTGGATGCCAGCTGGGTGTCACCCGATTCCCTTCAGAGGTGACACTTTACCTGGCCATAGCTTCAGGTCCCACAGGCTGCGGATTCAGCCTCACAAAACTGCTCTCACTTCCCAAGCCCCAAGTTGTGACCTGTGCTTCTCACTGACCAGCTGCAAGCTGTGGTTCCCGTGATACCCTTCTTGGGCTTAGTTAATTTGCTAGAGTGGCTCACAGAACCCAGGGAAACACTTGCCCTTACTGGCTGTTGTAGAGACTACTACAGAGACTTACTGTGTAGGAGACACGAGACCTTGGAGAGCTAAGGATTTGGGGAATTGTGTTTCAAGAAATGGGGAAATTTAATACAACCTGATCATCAGTCACCATCTCAGCAAGTCACTTTGTGACCAATGATTCTAAAGTTTAGCCGGGAAGGCTGCAGGCCCAGAGTAGCAAATACAGTGTTGAAGGGCAAAGTTAAAGGATGACATTCACCTAGAACTCTGGTTGGCAAGACCGTGTAGTGCTGGCAGAAGAATGGAGAGCTGGTCTGGTGACCGAGACAGCCCCGATGAGTATCACGATGAACCTTTGACAACGGGAGCGAGGACAGCTTGGTGTCGAAGGGCCATCTGTTCAGAGGGGTGGTGAGCAAGCCAGCGCTCACTGGAGGTGTGGCCAGGATATAATGCAGGCGGCTGGCTGGGTCTCTGAAGCTTTGCCCAGGATGACCTGGCAGCCAAGGGTGCTTGTGCCAAAGTGCAGGGTGGTGTGTGGGTGCTCAGGGCTGCGTGGATCTGGAGTGGCTGTTGAGGGTTCAGTCCCTTTCTTACCTTGGTTGTCTCTTGTCTCCCTTTGCACACGCATGTGTGTGAGGGGGCGTGGTCCTTCGTCCTAGCAACTGTGGGATGGCCTTGGAGGGCTTCATGCCGAGGAGTGGTGTGAGCTCATCTTAAAGACAGCTCTACTGATGCCAGGTTGCTGGGAGGGGACTTCAGTGGACAGTGCAAGATGTAACAGCCGCCTGGCTTGAGGTGTTGACTGTGGCCATGGAGAGAAACCGATGGCTTCCCGAGCAATTTTGGAAGTAGAACTCATAACACAGGGTGATTGCTGGAAGACACTGTTACAGTATAAAAAGTATCAATTTGTTTTATTATAATTCTGCAGTAAGGATAAAAACTCACTGTTTCCTTCTTGGAAACATTTTGGTGGGGAATGAATTGTTAGACTAAATAGAAAAAAAATGTTTTTCTTAAAGTTGCTGGACTGGGGACTGGACGGGCAGTCAGCTGGGTGCATGAATTGTTAGTCAGTTTGTCCTTGCTGTATACAATACCTGATACCTGCAACTTAGAGGAGGAGTTGGGTGTGGCTTGTATTTGAAGGGAGTAGTCTGTGGTTGTCTGGTGCCGATGTAAAATTTCACGTGGAGGAAATCTGCTCACCTCATGGCAGCCGCACAGAGAGAAGGAAGAAGCCAGGGAGGGAGATGGATGTTTCCGGGCCACACCCCCAGTGACTCTCTTCCAACCAGGCCCTTCTTTCTAACCACGCCCTCAGCCATGAGCTCATCAATGGATGAATCCATGGTGGGTACAGCACCCCCCACCCACTCACCTCCCAAAAGTCCCACTTTTGAATAAATGACACTTGGGGGACAGTCTCCACTTAAACCATAGCACTAACTACTTTTGAAAACAAACCTTAGCACCACCAAAGTTTTTAGATAATTACAAAAGCAAACTACAAATTAGAAAAGCCAATTTCCTCCTAGAAAGTTGTGAATTCCAGGGTACAGAAAGGATTTTTGAGGAACAAAGACCAAAACCAGAGATAGAGGAGCCTCCAGTGTCTGGGCTGAGCAAAACGTGGGGGACCTGTCCCCCAGCTGGCCTGTCCACTCCACCAATGTCTAGAGACGACCCCACCACAGCAGGGTCATTCATAACTGATAATTTATTTTTGAAACTTTGTTTTGAAACGATTTTACACTCAGGTGGATTTGGCAAAAGTAGATTTTCTGTGAGCTCTTTGTCCAGGACCCCTGGTGATAGCTCTTTCTTGATCATCGTGATCAAAATCCAGGCCTCGCCACTGGTGCAGGACCCTTGTTGGTCTGCACCATCTTTACTCTCCCTCGCTCTTTGCATTGTTTTGGTGTGTGGGGCTATTGTGCCGCCATAAACTGTCCCATAATAAATAGCTGTGTATAACAATCCACACACGCACGGGTACAGGACACACGGTATTTACGTTCGCAGGAGCTCATGACTCTCCCACCCTGCCTTCCTTAGCTTTCTGTGTAAGAGCAGAAAGCTGTGAGCTCACCTGTCCTGTTCTCTGAATTCTCTTCACCCTCCATGGTGGTTACCTGGGACTGACCATGCGTCTTTGTTATTCTTTCAGCGCTGACTCTAACATGTCTCTTCTCGTTGTATGACACGGTGACCACAGTGAAGGACGATATATTGTTTTTTTTGTTTAATTTCTAAGAGAATAGATTTAAAATGTTCTCACCACACACACACAAAATGGTAAGTCTGTGAAGTAATGCATATGCTAATTGGCACGATTGAGCCATCCCATAATATATACATTTCAAGAAGTCATATTGTGCAGGATAAGTATATACCATTTTTTTTTTGTTGGTAAAAACGACAGCTGGGCTCCGTGGCGAACACCTGTAATCCCAGGATCCTGGGAGGCTGAGGCAGGAGGATTACCAGTTTGAGCCCAGCCTGGGCAACTTAGCAATGTAGTGAGACAATAAAAAAGGGAGCTGGGAGGTGGCTCAGGGCAAAGGCCCTGGGTTCAATCATCAGTACTGGAAAAAAAGACAAAACATAAAAAATAAATGCACTCTTTATTGCCTGTCCGGATGTAGTGCCATCTTTCCCCTTCCCAGGCCAAAGCCTCCTCCCTGCCTTCCTCTCCCAGCGCACAGCCCATTTCTCTGATCTGGGCGTGGACAGAGGTGTGTGGAGCAGCTCTTTTGGTTGTAAGTGCCAGAAGCTCATCTCAAACTAATCCATGCAACAGGGGAGGACTTACTGGTTCTTATAAGTAGCACATTGCAGGGCAGCACTGGCTTAAAGCCAGACAGGCCAGGCAGTGTGGCCCCTGCTACCCAGGCACATGTTTCACCAGCTTGCTGACAGCAGGGGAGAGAATCTGTAAGTAGCCCTGGCCAGATGAGTCCCAGGAGGATGCAGAGGGGACAGCTGGGCCGTGCAGTCATCCCTGATCCAGTGTCAGAGCCATCGTGTGGTCCTGTGTGAATAACCTTTATTGAAAGCATACGGAACAGGTCTGTCCAATGGACAGAAGGGAGTAGTCAAGCTTGTCACTTAGGGCTGTCCATCTTTCAGTGATCACTTCATGAGGCAAGAGGGACTCCTTGGGGCTGGTGGCCACCCTGGCATACAGTTTTTGGCTAGGCGTGGGTGGAGGGAGGATGATTTCCTCTGTTTCTGCTAGCTGTTGCTGTATAGCAAACTAACCCAGAGCTTTGAAGCTTAAACCAGTCATTTTATTTTATTTTTATTTATTTATTTATTGGTTTTTTGAGGCAGGGTTTCCCTTTGTAGTTCAGGCTAGAGTTCAGACTGGCCCTGAACTCACTATTGTAGCCCAGGCTGGCCTCAAACTCACGGTGATCGTCCTGCCTCAGCCTCCTGAGTGCTGGGATTACAGGCGTGCGCCACCATACCTGGCTGTAGTTGTTTTATTTATTTGCTCCTATTTCTGCAGTTTTAACAGGGTTTAGGGTCTGGAAGAGCTGGTTTCCGCTCTTGATGGTGGCAGCTAAAGTGGTGCACCAGGGACAGAGGGTCCATTTCCAAGGTGGCAGAGCCACCTGCTGGCTGTTGGCTGGAGGCCTTGGTTCTCCTTGTGAGGCCCCTCCCCATGGCTAGTTTGGGCTTCTCACAGCACAGCAGTCTGACTTGTGTGGGAGCGGGTTTCTCCTTAAGCACAAGAGAAGCTGCGGACCTTCATACGGTCAGGTCCAGTATTGGCCTAGCACTGCCACGCTTTATTGGTTAAGGCAGATGACAGAAAAAGCCTGAATTCGAGGGCAGAAGATGACATGAAACATAAATACCAGCAGCTGTGACCTATTAAGAGCCACCAATAGAATGGCCCACCACACTCTTTGTCCTCTTCCAACGGGTCCATAGTCTCTGGAGTGACTCCCTATGATCTCCCCACACCCTGGCTCCTGCCCCTTTTAAAAAAGTAGCTGTGCAGTGCTTTCTTCTTTTTTTTTCCTTGAGTTGTACTAAAGAGTACTTGAAGCTTTTGAGACTCGGGGGAAAAGATCACCACGGTCCAGGTCAGTGGACAGTCAAGCTTTTGTGCTGTCCAGAGTGATCCCCAAAGAGCAGCAGCCCTGCCTGTTGTCTTGGTAGAACATCCTGTGTCTCTCTTCACCTCCGAGTTGCATTACCAAAGCTCATGTCCTAGTTCAACGCTGCGTTCATCGTGGGAAGGGGCAAGAGGAGACCCCGTGCACCTTCTGTGCCTGAGCAGGCTGTTGGTCCTCTTTCCTCTTGCCGGAGGGGACCTGAGCTCAGATGGGGATCCAGGTGTGGAGACGCCTCAGGTCTCTCCTGCAGAGCGGAGGAGCTGGCTGTGGCTGGGCTGCCCGTGTGCTGCTGTGTCCTGGGGCACAGTGCATGCTGGCTTCTCACACTGTCTCTTGTTTATTTCCTTGTAGTGGATATCATGGAGATCAAGGAGATTCGCCCAGGGAAGAACTCCAAGGACTTTGAGCGTGCAAGAGCAGTCCGCCAGAAGGAAGACTGCTGCTTCACCATCTTGTACGGCACCCATTTCGTCCTCAGCACACTCAGTTTGGCAAGTGGGTGCACAATTGTCTGCTGTTCTCCCTCTCTGTGCCTCCGTTCCCTTCTGCAGAAGTTCTCTACTAATAGATGTTCACACCCGCCTGCCCACGAATGGGATCTGGGGCCTATGGTTTTGAATCCCACCCCTGCTGTGTGTTTGCGGACAAATTGTTTAACCTTTCTGAGCTGGAACCGTTCAACTGTGAAATGTGGAGAGCAATCATACCCATCACACTGGGATGTTGGGAGTTGAAAGTTGAATGTATGCTAACTAATTTGGTCAATACAGGCCAGGCTCCCCTGGGCAAAAAGTGTTCCCTGCTTTCCTCCAGCAGGTATTGCACAGCAAACTTGACACCTATCTGACAGAACGCTCCTGAGGTCTCTTATGTGCGTGCATGCACATCGAACATAGCACGTGTACTCATGAGTGCACACACGCACACAGCGTATGTTCTTACACAGGCACACATATGCACACAGTGATATCTTTAAGCTCTCTCGCTGTCCCTGTGTCTCCATCAAGGAGCAGAGGAGCCATCTGGGAGGTGAGACGAGAGTGGAGAGCAGCCCAGGCAGACCACTCAGAGCAGAAGCTGTGACTGCTTTCTGGTCCAGCTCTAGTACTACTCAGCAGTGTCTGTCCAGTCTGGACTGATGAGGAAAGATAAATCACCAGTACTGTCCAAATAAAGCCTACCAAAGAGGTCTGTGGAGGTTGAGCAATACAGAGACATCTAATTAGGGGTCACACAGTTCTTGCTAATTTCTCATTCGTTCATCAAGCATCTCTCTATTTCTTGGCTTGTTGTGCTGGAGCTTGAACCCAGGGCCTCATGCATGCTAGGCAAGAGCTCTACCTCTGGGCAGCACCCTCACCCCCATCAAGTGTCTTCGGGCGCGCATTCTTTGCTAGGTTGTAGACATTAATAGGGTGCAAGAGAGGAATAAGACCCAGTTGCTGCCTGTACAGGGCTCACAACTGTATGACCAGGAAGTTAAGTACACTGTGATCGGTGTTGCAGTGCACACGTAGAACAGTGTACACTAGAATTTCCAGGCAGGGTCTGTAGGGGCTGACTAATTTATTATTTACTTATTTTGGGTACCGGGGATCAGACCCGGGCCTTTGTGCTTGCTTGCAAGATAGATGGTGCAGCCACTGAGCCAGATCCCCGGCCCGGGCTAACTTATTTTACACTGGGTTTTGAGGCCTCCGTAGGAGTTGGAAGGAGAGTGGGAGGGCAGCCCAGGAGCGGCACGGACTGAGCAAACACTCAGAGGGAAGTAGCCAGCTGGCGGTGGGGGATGATGAAGGAGTGCCTGGTGCTTGGTGGGTGGTGGGTGATAAAGGAGGAATGTGGAGAGGGATCGTGAACCTAGACAGCTCTGGCTGCACAGCCCCGCCTACAGGCTGAGCCCTGGCTGTTGCTTCTGAAGAAGACCACGGGAGCACCGGGCTGGGACCTGGGATGCCAGCCTGGTGCCCGGCCCACTCCAAGGTTCAAGAGCCCTGAGTTCAAGGCCTGGGTTCAGATCGCAGCTTCTCACTGACTGTTCTGGGGCCAATGGCCCATCGGAGCCCCAGCTTCCGCCTTCTCTGGGTGGGATGGAGGGACACACAGTATCAGACTGCTGACACTCACAGGAGTTAATAGCGGGGCATGTGAAAACAGCAGGGGTGCAGAGCAGGTGAAGCGGCTGGCTGGGCGCACCTATCATGGACCTGTGTGACTGTCTTGTTTCTCTCAGAAGCTGAGGTCTCTGCCGCCCTCTTGCCATTTTCTCACAGCAGTAGCATCACCGTCCCTTCCCCTTTCCTGGCCTCCATTGGACCCAGGGAACACTGAGGGCCCCTCGGGATTGCTGTGCAAATGATCCTGGGGGGCTCCCCGGTGACCCCGCCATCCTCTCTAAGAGCACATTCAGCCTTGAAGTCATCCTCCAGCTGATCCACTGATGAGCAGAGCACCTCCAGGGCCAGTCACCTTCGAAAGCCTGGCCTCTGACGCCTGAGCCCTCTGGGGCCACTTTCGATGTGAACCGTGACTCCCGCTAGCCTGTTTCAGACTCTGACCTCTGTGACTGGAAGGGGGCGCGTGTGTTACTTTAAGCCCGAGATCGTGGCATTGTGTTGTGGCCACGGAGGATGCTGAGTCCTTACCCAGGGACACCCAGCGGCTCCAGCTTGGAATTTTCCTGCTCTCCTCTCTGACTTAACTTCCCTGGGTGGGTGGGACACAGGTGTTGGGAGGTCCCCAGTGAGTCTCCTGAGAACCTGGAGCTGAGGACCTGGTTCAATCCAGGTTTGAATCCTCAGCTCTTCTATTCATGGGTCACTCTGCCAGTCTGATGGCCGCGGTGGGGTGGGCCTATCTCAGGTTGCTTTGGCTGCTGTCGCAGTCTTCTCAGTGTGCCTGCTGGGGGAGGGGGAGTGAGGGTCTCACTTTCTCTTCTTAAGAAGGGTGCTGACCCCTTTGTGGAAGCCCCACCTGCTTGACTTCATCGGAACCTCATCACCTCCCAAGGGTGCACCTCCAAACACCATGCCCCTGGGGTTCAGGCTTCGGCCTGTGGATTCAGTCTGTAATGGGTGCTCGTAAGCAAAGGCCTTCCAGTGGCTAACGCAGCGCTTCTCTTCCCCGCTCTCTAGCTGACTCCAGGGAGGATGCCATTACGTGGCTCTCAGGCCTGAAAATCTTACACCAGGAAGCCATGAGCGCATCCACGCCCACCGTCATCGAGAGGTACTCGGCTCCTGCCTGCCCTCCACATCCCGCCTCTTCCGGGCTTCCTGCCTGCAGTGTGTGCAGCGGTACCTAAGAGTGGTCTTGAACGCTCCCCAGTAAGAGCACCTGGTGCCAATCTGTACCCTGGCCTTCGGGTGACACTGCCTTGGCCCTGAGTTGGAGACAGCCGTTGGTGCTGTTGGGGCACAGGAGGACTCTGTGAGGCGGTCGGCGTCGGGGCCTGGACCTGCCACCTGTCACTTCCTCCTGATTGGCAAAGCCCTTCGCTGACTCTTCATTCTCCTGGGAATTTCGGTGGGATTCTGGTGTGAGTTTCTCTCCCCCAGCAAACTGAAACCTCTGCTTGGCACTGTTTTCTTCTTGCCAGCGTTTTGGGATTACTGACTGTCATAAGAGGAGACTGTCGCTGGAAAGGGACCCAGGGTTTCCTCGTGCAAGGGGTGTCCAAGACTCAGGCGGCGCTCTTCAACCACGGGGAACCTGCTCCCCAAGGTGGCCTGGGGAAGCTGGAAGGCCTTTTGTTCAGTCCCTTCGGTCCCCATCCCAGAGTTTACTGAAACCTGTGTTATTTTCTAACTCTCCCTCTCTCTCTCTCTCTCTCTCTCTCTCTCTCTCTCTCTCTCTCTCTCTCTCTCT